AAACTGGTAAACACTGTAGAAGTCAGGATAGAAAAATGCCCAAGTACAAGAACCTATTACAGGAGACAGCCAAAGGAAGAAAAAGAACTAGTGAAGAACACAAGCAGAGAATGTTGTGACAGAGGAGGGAAACACACAATGTTTGGAGATAAGACCTTTAGGGAGTTAATTAAGGTCAAATAAAATCTTAAAGATGGGTCCCTAATCCAATAGGACAGGTGTTCTTATATGAAGAGAAAGAGATCTCTCTCCACCCTCTTGCACCAAAGCACTGTTTAAAAATATTTTTTTAAAGCAGATCTGCTGGCTCTACTCCAAAAACCCCGATTAGAAGCTCTGGAGCCCAGGATTCTGCATTGCAAAGTTCATTATGAAAGTTCTGTGTAAAAGAAAAGGTGGGTGACAATAAAAAAAAAAAAAGATAAAAATACAAGCAGCAACAATCTGAAAAATGTAGGATTCACTACAAATGTGAGAAAATCCTAAATTTTCTTATTGATCACATATGCTATATATACTGAAAGCTGTGAGCCTGGATTATTTTCTCTCTCTTTTTAAAAGAGACTTTTTAAAAAAATTTTATTTACGAGAGAGCACAAAAGAGAGAGATTGATTTAGATCTCCAATCTTGACTTCTGAACTAAAACTGGAAACTGGGAATGCAATCTAGGTCTCCCATGTGGTGGCAGGAACCCAGTCATTTGAGCCATCACCACTACCTCCCAGGGATAGTGTTAGCAGGGAGCTGCAATCAGAAACTGGAGCTGGGAATGGAAGCAGGCACTCAGTTATGAGACACAGGCATGTTAACTGTGCTGTCTTTGACTACTAGGTCAAATGCCCTTCCTGAGCCTGAATTTTTGATGGTTGTGTTTAGCTGCTCAATTAAGCATATCATCACCTACTTTGAACTTCTGATAAATCCCAATTTATTAAAGCCACCATTAGTTCAGTTTTTAGTTACTTGCAGCCAAAAGCACATCTCACTGATTCAGTAAATTTAAGATTTTATTTGCTGGGAGGAGGTTTGAAAGATCTTAGTCAAACTGAACAACAATTAGTGATTAAACTTGGTATGATTTTAACAGGATCACAGATAGTGTCTATCTCACAGGAAATAATTCTGCTCTACTAACCTATTTGACTAGACAAGTAAAACTAGTCTTTGTAGTACATTTATGTGGTGATAAGGGGTAAGGAAAGTTTATGAATAAAAATGACAACATTTATTGAGCATCAAGCACTATGTTAAGAACTTTATATAAATATCTAACCCAAGCCTCGTAATAGTCTCATGATACATCATAACTCACCACTGTTAATGGGAAAATTAATGAGCTTCCTTATGGGGGTGAAGGATATCAAAGGTAGAAAATATATATTTCTTGGATAATGAAAGGCTAGGAAAATAAGGGTGGCAAACTTATTAATCTCAGGTAGTTTTCCTGACATTTCTATTTTGTACCTTCTTTTGCATGAACTTAAATCCCATATACCTTTGGTGGCACACGTCAAGTCAAATCTTCCTTAGGAAGCCTTCCTCAGTGACATTTCCGTAGCAACTTTGCCTTTTTTGATTGTCTAGAGTTTGGATTTAGGACTACACTAAATGACCTAGATTATACAGTACCTGGGATAGGAAAAAAAAGCCTACACCTAGAGGAGCACAGGGCATTCAGGCAATAAATAATTCCTGTCAGATGATGACATCTAGCCATTTTGCATTTTTCACATACAAACACTTTCCATTATGTGACTTAAAAATTTCTATTTTAGGGTTATCTGCAATTATACTCCATTTAATTCACCAAATATAACGAATTTGTTACTAATAGATAACAGTTCTCTGTGATTTTCAGTTAAATAATGTTTCTCTTGACATTTCTCTGTGGTGATCCAGGTGAACTGAAATTTGAGAAAATTTCAACTATGTGTTATGAAGTTCCTTCCTCCCCTGCCTCCCTACACCTGTCAGTCCTCTTTAGCATTCTGCAAGGATAAGGACTGACAGATTCACATATGTATAACTGTGTATTTGAGGAAAGGATAGGGTTTTAAAAATACACTACTGTTATGTCTTTGTCCTATTGCTAGATGCATGTGGCAGAATTGAGGGAATAAGGAACTTAATTGTAATTAATTACACTGAAGATTTTAGAAAACTATCTCCTTTAGTTATACATCTTTAGTTATCGGCTTATCAGCAAAGACGTCAATAGTTCAATTTATGACACTAAAAGGAACATAAAAGTCTGCCAATTATTTTGGAAATACAGCTTACCTTCAAACAATGTTAACATTCCAAATAGTAACTTTTTATAAGGTTTAAATATTTTTAAAAATTTTATGGGGTAACTGAAAATTATATTAACCTTGTAAGATTATTTCAACAATAAATCATATTATTGTATTATTCCTTATTATGTAATTAGGTAGCTCTAGAACAATTAAATCTATGGGGTAAGTTGTGTCTAAGATTCAGAAGATATGGTCATATAGAGTGGCACCATTGAATTGAGGATAGTTCATTTTTTTTAAGGCAACACTAATTGAGTCACCCTATATTTTCTTTTTCTTTTTTTTTTTTTTTTACATTGTGAAGTATGCCATTAAGGGAGGTTTCAGTACTAAGCTTCTAGGAGAAAAGAGCTGAATATCTTAATGAGATGTGCATGGTTATTTCTATACTGCTTTTAGCCTTTATTTTCCACTTGAAGAATGAAAATATAAAAAGAAAACTATACAGTACAATTATCTTGACTATGACAGTAAAGCTTTATCATTGTATGTGACTCATTTTTCATTAAAATGCATACAAATATGTTCAGAGATATATCTATCTATATAGATCTATAAATTTTCATTCATGGACCTATACATAGATCCATGAATAAAATTTTTTTTTGAAATCATGTTCTAAAAGGATACTCAGTAATTTTTTGACCAGAACACTTTAAGAGCATATATTGTATAATTTAGAATTGTGACAAACGCACAAAATGAACAGATGCTAGTTTATTCTATTACCCATTTTGCTAGCGTACTATTGCAATGACTCATATATTACTTTAACGTCAAATTCTTCATTAAGCAGAATGTATAAATCAATTTTCCACTGTGACTTCCTTGGAGGAAAAGTTGGAATAAAGCCAATGATTCTTAAATAACTCTCAGCCCTTTTGAGATGTATTTCAGGAGAAGAGGATACTGGATACTGGAATTTACCTAGGTGAAATTTAGTTAATTTGCTCTTCTGTTAAGCAGATTTGCGATAGTGTCAGCAAGAGCTATTTATTGCACCATACCAACAGATTCTCTAGCAATGATGAACTAGAAGAAAAATGTTATCACCCTTCCCAGGGTTATTTTTCTCGTGAAGGGCACAGCTCAGAACGTTGGTAATGTCTAACCTGGTGAGCACATAAACCGATGAAAAAAATAGTTTTCAATGGCAGTTCCTTGGAATTTTTTGTTTTTAAACTTCTTTTACGTATTTTGATTCTAAGCCTTTAAAAAGGTTTCAACATAGATGCGGTCAGGTAGTGAACATACAAAACACAGCACTTCCAATCGCTAGTGTGCTCTTCAGAAGGCTATGCAAATTTAAATGTGTCCAGCTTGGGAGTTAAGAACTGGAAAACTGCAGAATTTCTCTTCTGGTTCTGATTTAGTGATAGCGAAAATAACACCGGCCAGGTCTCGGAGCGAGAGGGGATCATTAGTTCAAACAGGCGATTAGATGAAAATGGAGCGCGCAGGAACTTAGGTGAGGTGCACATCTTTCGATACGTGTGAGCACGGGAAGGAAAACCGTTTTATTTTAAAGTAAATGTCACGACGGGTGGTTTTCTTTTTCCTTTTAACTTGCAAAAATCTTGAAGGTGCGGACCGGGCGGGTTACCTTTTAGCACCTAAACGGTGCAGGTTCTCCGAGTTTTTCCATTTCCTCTTCCCCTCCGGAAAGAAGGGTGCTGGATAAGATGCCACACGTGAAGTCAAAGAGCCACCAGCTCAGCCAGGGCTGGAAAAGCAACCCCCCCAACGAAACCCGGGGGCTCTGAAGCGGCGATCCTGCGAGGCCTGTCCGCAGCGGCCGAACGCCGCGTTAACCCTTCGCGTGCCGCAGCGGCGATGCCCAGCCTCCGCGGACCCTGTCCGCAGGAGCGCGGCCGCGGCCTCCCCGAGCCCGCAGCGGGAACCAAGCCGGCAGGCACCGTGGTCGCCCGGGGCGTGTGCCACGGCCCGGGACAAGCATCGAGTCCGGTGTGGAGCCAGGGCAGAGACGCGGAGAGGAGCGGCTCAGAAGTCCGCTGGTGGGTGGGTAGGTGGGGGGGGGCTTCGTCTCAACCTGTCCTCGCCAGGAGCGCTCGCCCTAGCTCGCCCAGGTCCTGGGACCTGGAGGGACGCACGTCTAGGGACCCCAGGTGAAGGACGTGTCCGCACTCCTGCGGCACTCAGCGCTCGCCTGCCTCCACACGTCAGGAGCGGCCGGGCCGCGCGCCGAAACGGCAGCTGTGACTGACGGAGTCACCGCCCCGAGAGCCCGAGCCACCCCCTCCTCCCCCGCCGCCCCCTCGCTGCCCCCCCCTCGCCCCGCACACTGACACGTCATGGAAACACGGACGTCAGAGCCTGCCAGCCAATCGCAGGCGTCGGCAGGAGGGAAAGGGCGAACTGGAGGGGGCGGAGGCAGCGGCGAGCCGAGGCGCTCGGGGAAGGAAGAGAGGGAGGGGCGCGGAGGCGCGAGTTCCCCCGCCCCTCACTCCCGCCACCCTTTCCCGACCGCGCGGCAAGTTTTAATCGCCGGGCGCGCGCGGGGCCGCCGGGGCCGCGCCCGCCGGGTCCTCCCCTTAAACGCCCTCTCGGTGCCGCTGGGCTCTCAGTGCCGGTCCCAGCCGCGCTTCCTCCGCGCGCGCGCTTGCCCGCCCCCAGGCTCCCCGCGGGCCGCGTCACGTGACCGCGCCCAGCCAAGGCGGCAGCGGCGGCGGCGAGAGCTTCGGCGGCGGCGGCGGCGGCGGCGGCACTGGCAGCGGGAGCAGCTGGGCCGCCAGCGTGGAGCGGGAGGCGTGTGGGTGTGAAGAGAAGGGAGCGCCAGACCGGAACGGGTGAGCGTTCTCTTCTCCTCGCCTACCCCGGCGATCTTGCTGGTCACCCGGTGCAAACGGGGGGCCCTGCCCGGCGCTGCGCGCAGCCCTCGCGTGCTCGGCCGTCTGCCCTCCGGTGCCTAGTGGGGGGCCCCCGCCCCGATCGGGCCGGGGCTGCGGTGCTCACTGAGGGGGTTGCACCCCGCCCGCAGCTGCCGTTGCGGACGGCGGCGTGGGGCTGGCGGAGCTGCCCGTGCCGAGCGCGGCGCACCCTGTGTGCGGCTCTGCGGAGCCGAGGAGGCGGGTCCTGCGGGGACGCGGGCGGCCACTCGGCGGCTGCCGGGCTCTGGGCGGGGGCCGGCCGGGCGCCGCCTCCTCCTCCTTCGCCGCTGCCGCCGCCTCCTCGAGGTGCAGCGTGAGTAGGGAGCCCCGGGTGGTGGACGCCGAACCTCTCGGCTCCGAAGCCGCCTCCTCCCCGAGGTGCAGCCGCACCTCCGCGTGGTGCCCCGAGCCCTGCGAGCGGCTGCGGGCTGCGGACGCGGCGAGGACGAGCCCCCATTCTCTGCGCTTCCCGTTTTCCCTCGCTGCTCCCTCCCCCGACCCTCCTGCAGCCTGCCTTTCCTTCCCCCCTCGGAAAATGGTTCCCGCTGCCGGGCGAGGTGAGTGGCGGCCGCCGCCCGCCCGCGGCGGGGGCGGTCACCTGCAGGGGAGGCCGAGCGGAACCCGGAGGTCGGGGGGCGTCGCGGCGGGGGTCCTGACGGCCGGCTGCGGAGTGGATTTGGGAGGAGTTGGCGGGGGGCGGTCGGGTGGCCCCTCGCAGGTTGTCCTCAGCCGGTAGCTTCTAAAGGTGAGCGGGCTCTTCGTCGTGCGCCTCAGCGCCGGGTCTGGCGGGGGAGTCGCTGCCCCGGGCCTGAGGTCGGGCTCCACGGGGCTTCTCTTCTACACCCACAGCCCTTGGACGACTTCTCAGAGTCGCCTTGCCCCCGCCACAGCCCATCCCGCCACTGGTAGCCCCCGCCCCGGCGCGTGGTGACCTTGAGGGCAGCAGTGGCCGTCACTCCCTCTCGGCGCCCTGGGAGGGTCACCCCCTCTAATCCCCGGCTTCGGCCCCCCAGACGCGTTGCGGGCGGGGAGCGGGGGTCCCCTGGCTCGGGGTAGCGGATGGATGCGTGTCTGGCAGGACGGTGATTCCCTCAGAGTTGGAGAGCCGCCTCGCCCGCTCTCCCCACGCCTCCCGTCTGGCCCCCCAAGATGTTCACAGCTGCTTCCGATTCGTGTTTGTGGACTTAGTTGAAAAGGGGAAAAGGAGACGGGAAAAAAAAAAAAAAAAAACCACCCTGGCGCCCCCTCCCCGTTTTATGGAAGGGTCGCGGTGGGGGAGGACGGTGTTCCAGGCGCGGGGGTGGGGGCGTGCTCCCGCGACTCGGTCCCGGCGAGAATGCGGTGGCGTGAGCCAGTTGGCGACCCCTGGTTCCGCGCCGCGGCCGCCGGCCGGTTCGGTGTCTGTGCGCATCTTCATTCACCAGTTTTCTGCGGGACTCGCGGCGCGGGCGGTGCTCGCGCTCTGCGTGCTGGGACCGCGATGGGCGGGCAGGGTGGTCTGGCAGGGGGGGGGATCTGCAAAGGCGCAGTGGACTCGACCCTCCGCGGCAGGCTGCTTTTCTTCCTACCTTTCCCCTTGGGTTCGAGCGCTGCAGACAGCCACATTCGGCTGCTGTGCGCGCTACTTCTCCGGGTTATTAATAATCTAATGACTCCTGTTGGTATCGATTGCTGTTCTTGATAAATTAATTCTATGGATTTTTTTTTCCCTCCCATACGTGTGTAGGTATATGCGTTTCTCTGGACTGTCTGCCTTTCAACATGGAAGCCTTTGTTTTTGTGTTTAACCTCCCCCACCTGAGGACAGTCTTGTTTTAAAATAAGGCTCTTGTTCGGCGTGGGTGGTGTGTATTTTATAAGAAGTACTTGCAAGGGCCTGGTTTGTAGGAGGCTCTCACCGGGCAGCCCCTTGGACGGTGGCCCACGGAGTGAAGGGCCTTCACCACTTGCCCTGCTACCAGTCTTCGCCGTCCTTGTGTGTGGCACGGGCGGATTGGGGGAATTAAGAGGGATTGGAAGAGACTCTGCATTTTGTACTTGTGCCTTTCGTTTGGGTCCCCCTCCTCCTCCTCCTCCTCCTCCTCCTCCTCGTGAATTGAAATTTGAAGTAAATAGAACCATTTTTCCTATCGGAGCCTGTGAAAGCCTGGTAGGGGCTTATTTAGCCCTGATTTTGGGGGGGGGGGGCGGTTTAGTTCCCACCTTCCTTTGCATACGACAGTTAAATTGCTGTAATTAAGGGTGGATCTATGTCCTGATTTTGGCTTGGGTGTAACTGCAAAGATCTTTGAAAAGTAACTGTTATTTCCTACCATATAGTCTGCAAAAGTGAGTCACTTTCGGGTGAGTTGAGGACAGAGCGCCACCTTTTAATTTAAAATTTAGTGATTTTTCTTTTATTAAAATGGTGAAAATTCAAAGGATGCCTTCTTGATTTTTCTATCGTAGTGGTCATTACTGACATCCCTGTTTTGACATATTAGGGAGGATTGTCTTCATTTTTCTGTAATTTTTCATTCTTCGGGAGGGATTTCTGTTAGGCAAATAATTTTTTTTAAACAAGGCTTGGGATATAATATTCTGAGATGAGAAACTAGTTTTTATTCCTGCTTATGATGAAATAGTAAGAATGGTCTGGACCAAGTTAGGAAAAGAAGGAAAGTCATAGCAGCATTGTAAATAGATGTCTTAAGTTAGCCCTTGCCTCCAGGTAAGGTACCAACCAGCATAATAGTAGTTTTACAGGTTTTTTTTTTTTTTCTTTTAAGGCTACTGGGCTATTAACACTCAAAATTGGTAAAATTTTTAGCCTCGCTTGAATAAGGTATAGTAACTTTGTCATCTTCCGACAACTTGCCTTTTGTGGTTTTACTGATGATTTTACAATTACTTGTTTAAATAATACAAATGAGCACTTCCAGCAGGAGCACTTAACATTCAAAGTTTAATAAAGGCTCTGTTGGAAAAAGTGGTTTCTATATATGGCAAAAAGCATCTCATACAGAAATAAATAGAGTTTTTAATGCTTAGAAGACAAACGCTGTAGGGACAGATGAATTGCTGAGATTTCCTTCTTTGCTCTCTTACTCTCTCGCTCCCTCTTTTCTCCCTCCTATATCAAAAAGTTAAGGTACACTGTCTCTTTAGGCACAGGGTATTTTTTTTTATCATTATACTACAGATGTAACATGAAAAAGAAAAGATTTAGCTCTCAAGTGATGAATAAATTAACATATGAATGTCACCAAGCCTAGTTTTAATTGCAAAGTACAAGACACTGCCCTTGTATCTGCATTTAAGTTTTAATTGAACACTTGCCATTTCTACATAGACTTCTGTAGAGCATTAGCTATTGGGGTGTAGGTAAGTCTTTATTTAGCTAAAGTTAAAAAATCTGTTTTGAGATGGAAGATGGTTTATGGCTGTGGATTACAGTCCCAGGTTAAAGGATGGTATTTGAGTTACTGGATTGTTGCATGCAGAATAATTTTACATTGATAGGTATGCTTTGATAAGAGCCTTGATTTGGGGGGTAAATTTACTAATTTCTTTTGTTTGACAGAACTATCAGTCCTTAGCATGTGAAATGAGTTTTAGAAGAAATGGCCACTTAGATTAACTATTGGTGGTCTTCTGCTAACCTGAACAGAAAAAGAATATTTGCTTTTTTTTTCCCATTTTACACATACATAATATTAAAACTGATGTTTTCACTTTTTAATTCTGGAATCTTGTCATTAATGAGCAAAATACAAAAAAAAAATAAAGAAGCAGAAACTCTAAGATTTAAATTTTTGCACCTTGGGTAAGAGTATTTACTCCGCTAGTTGGAAAAAAATAGTTTTCTGGTAGGTGTCAAGATTTATAGAAAGGTACTATTATTTGGGAATATATAGAATCTGATGTAACATTATAAGGAGAATTATATATAATAGTTTATTTATATTTTAGAAAAATATTCCATAACTTTAAGATTTATTTTTTAGCTTTTAGAAATGTTACCTGTACACACCAAATACCTTGTTTTGTTAAAATTTAACTATAGAAGTTGTCTATATGTGGAAGTAAGAGGAGGATACATTTACTCACCATTTTTGACAGTTATCAAAACTTGTGGCTCGTCTAATTTCATTTATGTCTTAACACAAGAAATGGATCAGTTGCAAATGGCTACAAAGGACAGGTAATTGAATAGAATTCTTAGGTTTTGTATTTAGCTTACAGAATATATTCAGTAGTGTCCAATATCTAACTGATTCTGAAAGGTTAGTTTTTATGTTATTCATTGTTTTATGGGATACACATTTTGATTTTTCAGCTGGTGTCGAAAGATAGCATTATATCACAGCAGATACCTAAACTATCTCAAATTTTGCTACCTTTGATTTATGAAGTTCTTTGCAGCCTCCCAGGGTGTATTTTCATACTGTCACATTTGATTCTCATAATAAAAAATCCTGTGTATTGAGTAAAGTAGACACAATTGTATCCCTTTCTTTGGTAGGTAAAATGATTTCTAGGCCCTAAGGTCAGTTAGATAGAATGGCAAGAAGTGGAGTCAGGGGAGCTTCTAGTTTTGTTCCTTGCTCATCCCATTATACATGTTTATGTGAATGTAGGAAAACTAAGGTCATGATCAAAATAAATTTAATAGTGGGATATAAATAGATTTCTTTGGGTTTACCTTTGTAAATTCAATCATTGCTTATATTTGGTATAATGTGAACAATTTGTACCCTGATTTATTTAACTGCTAAGTTAATTTGAACATATATCACATACTGTATTTTTAATATTGTGGATTTTTTTAAGTTAAGAATTTGCTTTCAAACCTGTTGGTCTTTGAAATGACTAGGAGTGTCTTAAATCTTGATTTAAGAATAAAATGTGCTATACTAAGTTTCTTTTAATTCTTTCTGTAATTT